GCTCCACCACCAACATGGCCAAAAGCTTGGTTTAAATATTAACTCTAATATCCAAAAAAAAGTGTAAATCAAAAAGTGCTAAGTGCTAAGTGCTTATAAATAAATAAGATGTGAGAATTAATGATATAACGTGATTGATTATATAAAATTATGACTTGTGAAAAATAAATTAATATTAAACGTCACTAATTATATAAAATTGAAACTAGTGGAAAATAAATTCATATCATATTATCACGTCACTAAATGTGCAATCCTTATAACAATGTGCAAATCTTCCATCAGTGAAAAAATTCATCATATAATTTGATATGTGAAATTAGAAAATAAATAAAAGATAATAAATATTATAAAATAAAAAAAAATATAAAAAATAATAAAAAATAACAATAATATCCCAATGTGCAAAGTGAATGTCCAGCTTGGATGGATATACTCTCCTTCAATTTGAAGATATGGTCTTTGCTGTAATGTTGAGAACCTGTGTGGCTGCAGGACTGTGAGGGATACTCCCACCTTTAATCCACTCCTTAGTCCTCTGCCTTTGTATTCCTCATATGTTACATGTAAGAAAAGGAATAAAAGATATGGTGCCTTATCCCAGGGGTAAAACAGCTTTTATTGTGCTTCTATATTGCACTCACATTTTAAAAATATCATTAGCGCTTTGTATATATACAAAATCTCACAGCTTGCAGCTAAATCAAAACGAAGGGTGTGTGTCCACACACCCTCAGTACTCGCCGTATCGTTAGAATGCGCAATGATGTCACTGCCCCTCCCCAACGCGTTGCGCTACAGGGATTTGGTAGCTTCGTCCGGGGGGAAGATTTGCACATTGTTATAAGGATTGCACATTTAGTGACGTGATAATATGATATGAATTTATTTTCCACTAGTTACAATTTTATATAATTAGTGACGTTTAATATTAATTTATTTTTCACAAGTCATAATTTTATATAATCAATCACGTTATATCATTAATTCTCACATTTTATTTATTTATAAGCACTTAGCACTTTTTGATTTACACTTTTTTGTGGATATTAGAGCGCGGTTAATATTTAAACCAATTTTTTATAAACGCACATCACATGAGAGTGGGCTTACTAACCAGCGATCTAGTACTTATACCTTCATAATATACCTCAGTAGCTTGCAAGTCAATTTGTTTGTAATAATGGCCAAAAGCTAGCTTTTCTTATCACCCTGCTCGAAAAGCGCTTCCGCCCTCCTGGACCAGGATGTTTGAGTAAGTTCACTCAGATGTAGAGCTAAAAGGCATCTGGTCTGCAGTAACTTCTCAAATGTGATCAGAGAGGGATCCGAGGCATGCGCAAGTTCGCATGCTCGTTTCTCCTCCTGCAACCACCACAAAGTGGAATTAAAATCCTGTCTAGCTGTCTTAATGGCTGAGATGTACTGTCCCCGTAAAAGCATCCCACACCACAGGGAGGGTCGTCAAAGAGAGATTATCATCCCAGTATTCATCAAGTACAGGAGCCACCTGGGAGGACACCGTCTCCACATCCAACCACCCCGGACTCAACCTCCATGCACCTCCCCGTGTCCGTGAGGGAAAGCCCAAGACCACCGAAAGCGGAGTATGGTCAGATATGCCCCAGAAGTAAAGTAAGGACGTATTAGCAAAAGCCAGGTCAATTCTGGAAGAGGACTTATATGTTTTAGAAAGATACGAAAAACTAATCAAGTCAGGGTGCTTCCATCACCACAGTTCCGTAAGGGATAAAGTGGCAGCCCATGCTGACAGGTCCTGTGAGGGTGTTTGCAGGGGGTTGGACGTGTCCCGCAGGGCAACCAAAATACCATTAAAACCCCCAGCTAGGATCAGCGGGAGGTGCATGAACGGAGACAATCTATCCATAAGGCCATATAGGATCTGGATATTGAATGGAGGAGGTACAAATACATTTACCAAAACAATTTTAAACGTGAAAAGGTCAGCAACTACCACTAAATATCTACCTCCCGGATCAGAAATCACCTAATGGATGGTGCAGGGCACAGATTTGCTAATTAGAATGGACACCTCTCTGGAGTAAGTAGAGTAAGTGGTGTGGAATGCCCTCTGCACCCATGGGCGTCGCAAGTCAAATATCCTGCTACCATCTAAGTGCGTTTCCTGAAAAAACACTACATGTGGTCTATGAGGTTTCCAATATTGGAACACCAAGGCTCTCCGGAACTTATCGTTCAGGCCTAATTTCAGAGAAGATATTGACAAGTATCAAATATAATGAAACATACATTACAGATAAGGCAGATGTGTGAGGCATCATATAACAAACTGAAGCTTATATATGGAAAAAATATACAGATAGCATTGCACAAAGAAAATAAAACAACAAAAACAGTCCCTGTACCAAAAAAAGAGGAAAAAGGTTCAACTCCCTGCTGCCGTGGAACAAACAACTGGCCCATAAACAACAAGTCCACGCAGCTTATACCCAAAAACCTGAAAAATAATCGAAGAGTTGTGGCTCCACCCAATTAAGTTCACATAGTTTCACTTCATGTGACAGTCGGACTGAGCTCTGGTGTCAGGATATTAGTGCATGAACTGGCAACAAGGGGTGGGTAAAAGAACGGAACATCCCCCTCCGCTGCCAGCATTTGTCCCCAGGGCAGGAACAAAATCTGACCAGACAAAGTGTAAGCAACACATGTACACTCTAAGGGCATGGAACAGAACAGGTGAGGGCCATACCGCAGCAAGACCCCAGTGGAGCCCATGTCAGGAACAAAAGGCCAATTCCTACTCAGATTGTATCCAGTCACTCGCTGGCCTCCAGGGCTGTATCAAAGAATTTCACTCCTCCACGATGTGATACTCAGAGCCTGCTGGGATAGAGCGTACTGTAGGAAATACTTTTTTCTCTTAAGTGCCTACAGACATCTTTAAAGGATGTGCGCCTCCTTTTGAGTTTCAACTGAGAAATCTGGAAACGGCATCACTCAAAGGGCAGTTCTGGTCCCTTCCTGGCTTCCGCAAGAATCATATCCCGATCCCTGAAGTTTAGAAATCTTACCAAAAATGGTCGAGGAGGTGTTCCAGCCAGCCGGTTGCCCGTAGGTACCCTAAGAGCTTGCTCGATCACATATGTAGGAGGCATATCAGGGATATTAAATAGCTGTTTGAAGAATGATTCTGCAAAGGTAGCTGAGTTAGAACCCTCCACTCCTTCAGGTAGGCCCACCACCCTGACAATGTTGCGCTGCTGCCTGTTTTCAGCTTCTTCCACCTTGTTAGTCAGGGTAGTAACCTGAATTTGCAGAGAAATAAGCTGGGCAGCGTGTGTATGCGTATCCTCTGCTGAGCCAAGTCTATCCTCTGCCTCAGTGAGCCTTCCCCTAATTTTGTCAAGCTCATGGTGGATCAGCGTACATTCAGTAGCTAGATGTTCTATTCTGAGCACCAGCGTCGCTTTACATCCCTCTATGGCATCCAGAATCAGCTTGGTAATCCATGGGTCAGCTCCTCGGGTGAAGCGGGAGCCAATACCAAAAGAGAGGGGGCCGTGGGCTGTGGAGGGGAGGCCGCACTATCCATCTGTGGCAAGCCCTGTGGAGACTTACAGAAGGGAGGCAGCAAGATGGCGCCGGCCAAACACGTGGCACGCCCCTGGAGCTGACGTTGCAGCCTCGAATCTTTGGGCGGTCGCCCCACTTTTGGATGCCATAGAAAGCAGGTCCGGGTGTTCAGGAGAGGCAGGGGGGTCTGTATATGCTGGCCAGGCCATGCTGGAACCCACACAGCAGGATGAAACAGACGGAAGATCCCGGAGCTCTGAGCCTGCATGTCCTTCCAAGCTCACATTCTGGCCACCAAAGGCTTTATTATTGGCTGACAGGTTTGAAACATAAGAGCCGCTGAACGAAATTACAAATATCTGCACCAGTAAAAAACATACATGTCTGGATAACTGCACTGTATTTCGCCACGTGCCTGGTCTTTTATTCTACATAGCCACAGAACTATTGATTTGTCCACAATGCAGGGTTCAACCTCATTTCTGCCTGAAATAATGTAGAGAAAGGCTTGTCCTCCGTATGAGGAGGAATTGTGTCCTTGTCTCTGAAAGTTTCTGAACAGAAGCTTTTTACCAGAATCAAATGTCTGAAGAGGCTGAAAAGAGCAAATGTCAGGGCGTCCCCGCCGTCCGCGCTCCCCCCCGCTCCATCACATACAATATTCTTCTAAATCAGAATCAAACGTTTGGATGGATTTCAGGTCCGTCTCTGAATTGGCTTTCATCTTGTGGAATAAAGTGACGATCTCTTCTCCTCCCGTGACTCCAGCTCTCAGATTCTCTATTAGTCTCCACAGCAATGAAGTGAAATGTTTGGTCTGTCAGATGCACTCTGTGCTAAAAATGGTAACGTTTTTCCCTGACTTCCTAAGACTGAATAGATGTTTTCAGTTCAGCTCAGATAAAGGTCATTTTCCCACAAAAGATGAAAAACTGGCTGGTTTAACATTGAGGGGAAACACAGAATTCCCTGAGCATCTGCAACGTATCCACGGAGAGGGACAGCAGACAGAAATCCAGAAACAGAAAACATTCCTGAGTTTATCATTAGCTATAGAATTATTATACAGGATAAGACTTTAATATCAGGAAATGTAGTATGATATCTCTGCTGTCACATACCTAATCTGATACTTATCCAGAAGAAGAGCACCATTCCATACAACAACTCCCAGGGCAGATTTGGAGATTAGACCTTGGAATATTCCCCCTCCTGAAAATTTACCATTTACAATTTAACATCCCCCTTTTTTGGATCCCAACTTTGCTGTCCACCATCCAGAAGGTCACTTTAAACCCCTTCCTGTTCAGCGTGCGCACACACACACACATATATATACACACACACTATATTGTCAAAAGTATTGGGACACTCCTCCAAACCATTGTATTCAAGTGTTCCAATCACCTCCATGGCCACAGGTGCATAAAATCAAGGACCTAAGCATGCACACTGCTTCTACAAACATTTGTGAAAGAATGGGTCGCTCTCAGGAGCTCAGTGAATTCAAGTGTGATACTGTGATAGGTTGCCACCTGTGTAATAAGTCCATCCGTGAAATTTCCTTCCTAATAAATATTCCACACTCAACTGTTAGTGGTATTATAACAATGTGGAAGCAACTGGGAACAACAGCAACTCAGCCAATAAGTAAGTGGTAGGCCACGTAAAATGACAGAGAGGGGTCAGCGCATGCTGAAGAGCACAGTGCACAAAAGTTGCCAACTGTATGCAAAGTCTATAGCTAAAAAACCTCTAAACTTCGTATGGCCTTCAGATTAGCACAACAACAGTGCACAAGGAGCTTGGTGGAATGGGTTTCCATGGCCGAGCAGCTGCATCCAAGCCTTACATCACCAAGTGCAATGCAAAGTGTCGGATGCAGTGGTGTAAAGCACGCCGCCACTGGACTCTAGAGCTGTGGAGACATGTTCTCTGGAGTGACCAATCACTTCTCTGTCTGGCAATCTGATGGATATGCCTTGGATTGGCAATTGCAAGGAGAACAGTACGTGTCTGACTGCATTGTGCCAAGAGTAAAGTTTGGTGGAGGGGGATTATGGTGTGGGGTTGTTTTTCAGGGGTTGGGCTTGACCGCTTAGCTCCAGCAAAGGGAACTCTTACGGTGTCAGCATAACAAGAAATTTTGGACAATTTCATGCTCCCAACAGTTAGGAACAGGTTGGGGATGGCCCGTTCCTGTTCCAACATGACTGTGCACCAGGCGACCCAATACTTTTGGCAATATAGTGTATGTTGTATATATATATATATATATATATATATGTGTGTGTGTGTGTGTGTGTGTGTGTGTGTGTGTGTTATGGACTAGAAGCAGTTATTCCAGAATCATGGCTGCTGCAGCCATGATCTTGGTATAATTGTTTAGCACATTGATGCTCTTTCATGTAAAGGTGATCCATATGGCTATACAGCTGCCCAATCACTTTTACAAGGCTCAGAAGGGGGGCACCCCTCCCGATATCACTCTCAGGCTCTCCCACTCCATTGGGAGATGAACGAAGCTGGGAAGTACAAGAATGTTTCAACGTCCGGTTTCAGCTCTTTGTTTACCTGGCCGGTAATGGACAGGCAGGCAGCCAATCAAACTGATCTTTGTTTTACAAGCTGCCTTGGAGGGCAGAGGAGGGATCATGGTTTTAATAAACCCCATATTTCTCTATAAAGGGGACCTGTCACTGCCAAAGCTAATACAAGGGATGTTATTCACCTCTTGTAATAGCATTAAAGTTGAATAAAAAAAAAATAGGTCCCCCACACATATATAAAAAGTAAGAGCAATAATTCTAGCACCAGAGCTCACGTTTAATTCTAAACTGGTAATCTGTAAAGACTTTGCCTACAAACAATTTTAGGTATGGTAGTTTGTCACCATTTCACAGGTGTGCGTAATTTTAAATCTTTTGAAATGTTGATATGCTTGGTACTTGATGCTACCTAAAAAAATGGGTATCACATTGTGTTGTGTGCCCTAAAATACATTTAAGTGTATTCTTTCCTGGAAATGTTCTTTTTAAAAATGGCTGCGCAAATATCTGCAAAATATAAAGTTTGGGGGTTCTAAGTAATTTCTAGCAAATAAATGCAGGTTTTAACATGTATATGAAAAATGTCAAAATTGGCCTGGATGGCAAGTAGCTAAAGCATAACACCATCAAAAAGGGAAGTTCCGCTTTAACGACTCCCCTGCTCGCCGTTAAGGATTGGCACCTTTGGGGAGTTGGGGGGGGGGGGGGTGGGTACCCACTCCAACCACCTAGGAAATCAGAAGTTCTCTCATCAACCCCGCCCCCCACCCCCCCCCCCCATGTTGACAGGTACCCACTCCAACCACCTAGGCGTTCGAAAGCGGAAGTTATCTCCCCCCCTCCCCCCGCAGTCTGCTGGGACACGGGACATAATACGCATCGCTGTGGGCACCCAGCTGTCATGGCTGGGTGCTCATACTTAAGATGCTGGCGCCGGTGAACCTGGCTGCAGTGAGCACACTGCTGGATCAAGGGACAGGTGAATGGCTGTTTTTAAAAGTCAGTAGCTACAATTTTTTTTAGCTGCTGATTTTTATTTTTATTTTTTTCCCCGAAGCCTGGATTTCCACTTTAAAGTGGTTCTAAAGGTAGAATTTTTTTTTACCTTAATGCATTTTCTGCAATAAGGTAGAAAAACCTTCGGCATGCAGCTCCCATCTCAAACAGCCCCTCCCCAGTACTTACCTGAGCCTGATATCAATCCAGTTATGTGCACAAGAGCAGAGGCTCAGACACAGCCAATGGCTCCCACATCCAGTGAGAAGGGAGCAGGGGGCTGAACCGAGTCCCGCTCTGTGTCTTATGGACACACAGAGTGGGGCTTGGGAGCGAGCACACACACAGGAGTGCCCCATAGAAAGCGTTTTGCTATGGGGGTGCTTATCAGGGAGGCGGAGCTAGGAAGCGGGAGGGGCACCCGAGAAGAAGAGGATCGGGACTGCTCTATGCAAAACAATTGCACAGAGCAGGTAAGTATAACATGTTTTTTTATTTAAAAAAAAAAAAAAAAAATTTAAACCTTTACATTCACTTTAAGAGGATTTACTATGTATGAAAGAAAGTGACTGTCAGAAATGCTTAGAGTCTTTATGGCAGAGGAATGGCTCACAGAGGTCAGCTTCTTAGCCAAAGGAAAAGTATATTGTTTATATTTCAAGACTCTGGGACTCACACAGCCCTGTGTGGGAGATGAACATCAGAAGTCCAAAGCAATAAACATAGGAGATGTTTGAAAAGGAGGGATTCTCAAAGCCCCAGGGACAGCTAACTGCTCATTTATAATAAAACAGGGTCAATTTCATTAAGGTGAACAATCATACAAGAACTTCTGATTTATACTGTTATGATATAAAATTAAAGTTGGGAAGTGCAGGGAGTGAAAGAAGGGAGCAACAATTTCAGGGCCCCAGGGATAGCTGCACCCCTTATACCAACACTCCATTAGCCGTCAGTAAAATAATTTACCATGACACAAAGATATACAGTATTTAATACAGTACTATGATCTGATGTCATTCTGCTGCCATTTATGTGCTGTGGCTGTAGTATAACATAACAATCAGATTCTTGATCATTGGCACACTTAGGCCATTACAACTCAGATCTGTTCAGTTTTTTTCCTTGAACAGTAAAAGTCTCAAAAATAGTTGACTTACCGTGTGTTTGATACTAAAAAAGAGTGTAATCAGAGCAAGAACCTGAATTCACTTAAAGTGTTAATAAACCCAGGACCCCGCATTCACTATATCTGGTCCCCCACAGTACACACAACATGGAAATGCAATTATTTTAGTACATATAAACTGTTAAATACCTTTTCTCATCAGCAGTTAGAGCAGTCTTGTGACTTGACTTCAGCAGAGCACTGGTTAAAGCTTGTAGGAGGAGTTTTCTTTCTGCTGTAGGAGGATGTGAAACCTCTGACCCTCTGTCTGAGCAGTGCTGATTGGCCCTGTGCTGATTACAGGCACCCTCCCAAGAAAACAAAAAAAAAAACCTCTCTAGCAATACACACCAAACTGAGCTTGTGCATGTGACCATGGGTTCAGTCTGTACAGTCTGTATCAGGTGGTCATTTCAACAAGAGGAGGGGCAGAGAAGAAAGGAACAAACATCCTTTTTACACAATGCAGAGGATTAGGCTCCACAGTGAGTATAGCAAACATGCTTTACTGCATATACAGACTGTTGTGGGTTTAGTAACACTTTTAAAGATGTTTAAAGGACGGTGCATTTACTGGCAAAAAGAAAGTGGCATGACAAGCACTTCCTTAAAGGGAATGTATGGTGTTTTTGAATACGTTTATTTAATATTCTCAAAGCAGAATAAGTCAGAGCTGTGACTTCCATATTAAGCTTTTATTTTAGAATTCAGCAACTTATTAAATTCAAAGCAATCCATTATCCTCTGAACCTACTGCCGTATTCCTTGCTTTCCCTTTAAATGAGCTTTATTTTTTTTCTCTCTTCACTCTGACATTTGTTATGTGGTAGCAGATGGTTAATTAGCTTATAACTTTCTAAAAGAAAATAACAGTAATGATGTGTGGAAACAAGTGTTTAATTCATGAATAAAGAATGTACAGCCTCACAAATATAGAAAATAAAATATGCGACTATTGCTGGCTCATTCCTCAACGTGACAGATGCAGGCAAAATTAGATGGCGCCTATATTTCAGTAGTCTCTGTAGAATACACCGAGACTATCCACACCAGAATAACTCAATCCTGTTTTCATTCTGTAAATACTGTGATGTCACAGTGCAGTCATGTAGACCAGCCTTTCTCAACCAGGGTTCCCAGGCACCCTGTGGTACCTTGGGGTTTCTTCAGGGATGCCTTGGCAAATTTCTAAAAATTGCCCAAAACTTGTATACAAATCAAAGGGTGGAACAAGCCTACCTTTTAGTTACACAAAGCCACAGGTTTTCATTGTACACCATTATGACCTTCTAGCCGCCAGCGTCCTGACAACCAATGACATCATCAGTTGATAAGGAGGATGTCAGCTGTACGCACAGCATCCTTGTTTGACCCTCTCCTGCCTCTCTCCATCGGTGCTGGGGTCACATTAGCTCAGTGATGGAGAAAAACTGAGGGAGGAGAGAAACACTGGAATACTACTCAGTACCAGGGTTCAAAAGTGTATTTGCTTTGGAAAAATAAATCACCTCTAATGTTGGGTGTCCTACAACTGTGGGTGTTGCTGTGTTATATACAACTATTAGAATAGCTTTTCACATTTTAGAATGGGGTGCCTTGGGACTGTCCATAATTTCAAAGGGTGCCTCGGGACTGTCCATAATTTTAAAGGGTGCATTGACTAAAAAAAAGTCGAGAAACACTGACGTAGACTGTGCAGTGGTTCAATGTAAAACTGGATGGTGATGTCACAGTAGGACAAAGCCAGACAAAATGGGGTAGAGAGTTCCAGAGGATTGGAGAGGCTTCTGAAGGACAGCATGGGACGAGGTGACAGGGGCTCAGAAAGCAGGAGGTTTTGGGAGGAGCAAAGAGGGTGGTTTTGGTGATTTTTTAAATGTTGAGATTTTTGAGAAATTGGTGATGTAGCTTAGGGCAGAATTGTGGATGACTTTGGATGTTGTTGTTGACATTTTGAATTTTTATTCACTGGGCAAACAGAAGCCAGTGGATGGATTGGCAGAGAGAAGTGGTAGACACTGAACAGCTGGGAAGGTAGATGAGTCTGGCAACAGCAATCATAATAGACTGAAGGGGAGATAGTATAGGTAAAGGTAGACCAACGAGGAGAGAGTTGAAATATTTGAGGTAAGAGAAAACAAGAGAGTGAATTAGCATATTTTTGGTGCCCTTGGTTAGGAAGGGGCATATTTTAGAGTAGTTAAGGAGGTTAATATGGCATGATTTGAACAGTGATTCAATATGGGGCTGAAAGGAGAGGTCATAGTCTAGGAATACATTTACCACACCGCTGTGAGGAGAGGTACTGATAGTTTTGCCATTTATCTCAATGGAGAAGTTAGAGGAAAGGGCACTGAGCAGGGGAAATCTTATGAGATCAGTTTTGTAAAGATTGAGTTTGAGGACGTGGTGTGACATCATACTGTGGCATTTGTCAGTTGTTAGTAAATTAGTAGTGCATAAGGAAATAGATGGGGTGAGCTGAG